CAAAGGTTCCTCATCGCCCCTCCCATGAACTGGCATGGGCCAACCCGTTCCCCAGGGAAACGAGTTCTGGACCCAAGGGCATCCGTCCATGGGCAAGCTTTTCGACCTGGGTCAAGTAATCTTCTTCGGCCTGTGGACGGCCCCCAAAACGGCCACGAGTTACGCGCGGCACAGCAAGGCACCACCCTTCATCGAGGCGCTCGTACCCGCGTCGATGGGTGTCGGCGCCCCCGTAGGCCCCCCTGGCGACCCCCTGGCGGGGCGCCTGGCCCAGGTGCCGCGCGGAGCGCTGGGGCGCCAGAAACCTCGAAATCTGCGTGTCGGGCGGGAAAATTGGAAGAAAGCCATAACCATAAACTTTTGGCGCTCCGCGCGGATTTCTTGGATCTGGATCTGCGCTGGAGCCCCCTCCCTGGCGCGCGGCGCGCTCCAGGGGCGGCGCCAGAGGCGCCACCAGGGGGACCCAGCGCGGATCCAAAAGATCCGCGCGGAGCGCCAAAAGTTTGTGCTTATGGCGCTTCTTCTCCTTCGAGAAAAAAGACGGCAGCCTCCCCGCAGCGCCGCCGCGACAATCTTAGGAGGCAACTACTCGGAGGTTTTCGTCGGAAATATTAAACAGGATTAAGCCCCATTGGGGGGCTGTTATGCCAGAAAGGGTCTTGGATTAAGCCGGATTTAGCGGGATTCAGCGGGATCAAGCCGGATGAAACGGGATTGAGCCGGATTTCGCACCAGTGCAAAAACAGAATTTGAACCCCCAGGAGCTGCATCCGAAACAATCGTCGCTGCGGGAAGGGGGGACCCCTGCGCGGGCGCGCGCGCGCGCCGTGGCCGCTCTCCTGCAAGTCGAGGCGGCGAGTGCTGGCGGGCCGCGTCCCCTGGCGCAGGGCGGCCCGCGAAGACGCCCCGCGCGAGTGTGCGACCGCCCACGGAAAGCCCCATGGACCCCTCCGAGGCCCAGGGAGCCTGATGCTCGGGAGGAAGGATAGGGTAGAGTAAGGGGTTAGGAGGTAACTACTGGGAGGTTGTCGTCGGAAAGATTAACGAAGATTAAGCCCCATTTGGGAGCTAGTACGCCGGAGTGGGACTCGGATTAACCGGATTAGACCGGATTAAGCGGGATTAAGCGGGATTAAACCGGATTGAGCGGGATTAAGCCAGATTAAAGCGAATTAAACCGGATTTCGGACCAGGGCGAAAGCAGAATTTTACCTCCCAGGAGTTGTATCCGAAAAGGGGGATAGCAAAGGATAGGGTAGAGAATCAGCTCACGGAGCTGATCTTCCCAGCGCCTCTGGGCGCCAAGAGGCGCCCGCCCATGGAATCAAGGAATGGGCCTGGCGGCGGGGCCGAAACCGGCTGCATGCAGCAGATGTCGTACCTCGCCCTTTCCCAATCCCCCCCCTTCGTTCGGCCAAAAAGGAGCCGGATGCGCCAAGCAGAAACCTCAGGTCCCGTCTCCCTCAGCACCCGCTCGAGTCATGCCGACAGGACTTCACGCCGCAGGCGCGCGCGGCGCGGCGCGCTGCACGGCGCGCCGTTGCCCCCGCCGCAACCAGCCACAGGCCGGACGGAAGTTCGGCCCCGAGTCTCAGGATCGATACCCGGAGGTCGGCGGCTCAAAGACGGGGCCCAGCGAGAAGGAGCCCTAAGAGTATGACTAAGTCGGGCATGTTCCCCTACAGGCGGATCTTGGGCGACAAATCAAGAAAGACCTCACGCAAAACATTAAGATAATCAAACATAGTAGAAACATTGCCCCCAGACTATTTTTAAAACTATGGTTGAATACTCCCCCCGTAGAGGGGCACGCCCGACATGAGAGTATGAACGACACGCCGCCACGGGGTGGCCCCTCCGCGTGCCACCGTGGCAGAAACACAAGGACCCTCGGACGGCAGTGGAGGAGTGCAACCCGCGGACGGACTCGCCAGGGCGGCGTGACGGTGGTGCCATAGTTCCACTCCCGACTCAGGGAGGGAGGGCACCCCAGCCAACGTCGTGATCTTTGCAATACGCGGTCCCCGGAAGTCTCGTCCACTCCCGACTCAGGGAGGGAGGGCACCCCAGCCAACGCCGTGATCTGTGCAATACGCGGTCCCCGGAAGTCTCGACCCATTCCCCAGGACCAGCTCTTCATCCCCAATCGTTTTGCGACGGCCCCGGGGCCCAGCGAGGGCCCCTGAAGGCCGAAAATTGGGAAGAACCTCCGTCTCGATTATTTCAATACGTTGGATCTCTGGGGCCGCAGATGGAACTTCCATTGATTGACGCTCCTCGTCTTAGGTCGGGCATGTTCTCCTGCAGGCGGATCTTGGACAACAGTTAAGAAGTGGTCGAACAATTACCAAATATAGTGAAAAGGAGCAGAACAATGCTCCCCTGACTATTTTTAGGCCCGACTTCATCCTCGTCCTCGGGTTACGTTGCTCCCGTCGTGCTCAAGGACCACATCCCAGAAATAATTCCGCGCTCCCAGAAAAGTGTCGAAACAGTGCTGATATAGCGTCGGACGAATGCCTCCCAGGGCCCGGCACCTGGGAAAACCATCGAGTTTCGGCACCTCTCTGGTGCTCGGAATTCTCTTTTTCGTGCTCAAGGCTAACGGAGGTTGGGACATCATCATCCTCGGGGCCCCGTCCCTCGGGGCTCACTTGCCTTGCCGACCGCCGCGAGAGCGCCCTCGCTCGCCGAAGCGCCCGCGCCGCCGCCCGGAGGCCCCCGCTCTCCCGGGCCGCGAGGCCGAGCTCCGTGTGGGCCCAAGGGACACACCAGCAGCCAGACACACATCGATCACGGCATCGCCCCTGCGAGCGACGAGAGGCACACACCCAGAGGTCCGACGCCTTGCTGTTTCAGTGCGCTGGATCTCTGGGGCCGCGGCTGGAACCTGCATTGTTGGACGCTCCTCGTCCTCGGGGGCCCCGTCCCTCGGGGCCCCCTCGCCTTGCCGACCGCCGCGGGGCGCCCACGCTCGCCGAAGCGCCAGCGCCGCAGGCAGGCCGCCGCCCGGAGGTCCCCGCTCTCCCGGGGCCGCGAGGCCGAGCTCCGAAGGGGCCCAGTGCAAGGGACACACCAGTACATAGCCAGACATCGATCACGGCGTCGCCCACACGAGCGACGATGGACACACACACACACCCAGAGGTCCGACGTCTGGATGTTTTCAGTGCGCTGGATCTCTGGGGCTGCCGGTGGAACGTGCATCGTTTGACGCTCCTCGTCCTCGGGGGCCACATGCCTCGGGGCCCCGTCTTGGAACCGTCTTGGAGACGAGGGCGCTTACGCGCGAGCTTACGTGGGCAACTTACGCCCCAGTGTGGGCGCAAACGGCCCCGTTTCTTGGCGTCGCTCATATGTTTTCATATTAATTGGAGTCTCGTCTCCCTCCCTATGCTTCCCATCTTCTCCCACCCTTTCCTGGGAGTCGACGATTCTTTGTGTCCGTGCGTTGTCCCCTCCTGAGATGCCCGGGGGGGAGAGGTGCGCTCTGGATGCCGAGGGGTAGCCGACCGCCAGTCGCGGGTGAGGGGGAGCGGGATCGGCTCAGGGGAGGGAAACATCGACCTGCAACCCGTCCTCTGGACTGGACAGTCATCGCCCCCCCCTTGGATCCGCTGGGGGGTTGGGCACGCGCTGTCGGAACGGGTGGAGGGGGTTGGAGGAGGAGGAGGAGGAGGAGGAGGAGGAGGAGGAGGAGGAGGACGAGAGGAGGAGGACGAGAGGAGGAGGAGGACGAGGAGGAGGAGGAGGAGGAGGAGGAGGAGGAGGAGATGGATGGGAGGGGGGGGCCATGGGTAATCTCCGTCGGCAGATTAGTCGCCCACCCCTCGATTCATACCCCACCCAAAGCAATCGAAGATACATCACCGGCAGATCAGCGCTAGGCCCACGATAGCAAATCCAAGCGTTCCTGCGGGGTGGGCCAGCAGGCTCCTATCGGCGATGGATGATCAAATAAAAATCGTCGTTTCGTCTCCCACCCTGGGCCTACCGGCCACCGACGTTGCCCCAGAGTTGGACGGTGGACAAAAATCCCTGCCGCACAACGCCCTCCAGCGAAAGCTGCGCCGACCAGACGCCGGGGGGGGGGGCACAGGCCCGCACGCACTTTTGGGCCGCGACGCCCTCTCGATAGCCGAAACAAGGCAACTCGCGCATCGGCCTGGCAAGGTGGGGGTTCTGTCAACCTTCGAGTCGCGGCGACGAGAGAGCCCAATGAGACCCGGAGCATGTCGAGACAGCCTGATCAAATCGACCTCTCCTGACTACCCTACCAGACCACCCCGACCCAACCCGAAGACCCGAACTTGACCCGAATTTCGGGTTGGGGGGGGGGAGGGTACGGGTTCCCTGTGTTTTTTGTTCAATGTCCCCCGGCCCCCCCCCCCCCCACTGGAAATGGAGGGCAAATTGAGGCCTTCGGGTTGGGGTGCTTTGGTGGGTGGCGATCTCCCTCGTCGCCGCCGCGGCTGCCGACTGGAGCTCTCCAGAGGCCTCTGGCCCTCCTCGAGGGGGGGCCGGGATGCCCAAAGAAGCGTAACACAGAACCTCGATCTTCGATGGCCGCCGCCATTGCCGTCGTCGCCGCCGTCGCCCCTGCTTTCGCGCCACCGCCGCCCCAGAGATCCGACGTCGTGATTTTTCCACACGCGGTCACTGGAAGTCGGCGATGCCTTCCCCAGGACCAGTTTGCCATTCTGGGCGGTTGTGTCGATTGTCCGAGGGCCCGGCGAGGGCCCCTCGAGGCCGAGAAGTGGGAAAAACCTCCGCCTTGATTTTTACAGTGCGTTGGATCTCTGGGGCCGTCGTCGTCGTCGTCGGCGCCGCCGCTGTCGCGCCACCGCTGGCGCGGCCACCGCCGTCGGCGTCGCCGTCCCTGCCGTTGCCGCCGCCGCCGGCGATGCCGCGAGCGGCCGTGCGCCTCTCCCCGGCGGCGAGCGCGGGGGCGCAAACAGCGCCGCCAGCCGCCGCCCCGGCGCCGCCGCCGGAGGCTGCGGTCAGGCGTTGAGCCTGGCCTGCACTTCCGCGTGGCGCTCGCGGGGACTCGGCGCGGCCGGGGCTTCGGGGCGGAGTCGGGAGTGCAGGTCGAGGATCGGGGCTCGAGAGCGTCGCAGGTGCAGGGCTCGAGGATCGGGATCGGGGCTCGAGGATCTGGATCAGGAATCGCGAGTGCAGGTCGAGAATCGACAATGCAGGTCGAGAGTGCCGCTCGGGGCCTCTTCGGGGGTCCTGCGGGGGAGATCTCCTCGTTGTCATCGCGGGGCCTCCCTCAAACGTCCAAGCGGCAGGCACGCCAGGAAGGGATCGGTGGGGGCGATGGTCGAGGGGGACGTTGTCGTCGGACGAGGAAGGGGGGAAAAGAAGAATGAAGGAGGGGAAAAAGGAGGAAGAGGGGCAGACGCCCTCCCTCCCTTCCTCCTCCTCCTGCCCTCCTCCTCCTCCTCCTCCTCCTCTCCTCCTCCTCCTCTCCTCCTCCTTCTCCTCCTCCTCCTCCTTCTCCTCCTCCTCCTCCTCTCGTCCTCCTCCTCTCGTCGTCTCCTCCTCCTCCTCCTCCTCCCCTCCTCCTCCTCCTCCTCCTCTGCCTCCTCCTGCTCCTCCTCCTCCTCCTCCTCCTCCTGCCCTCCTCCTTACCCATTTCCTCTTCCCCCTCCCCCTCCTGAAATGTTCAGTCTGTCATTCTCATAATAGTACCTTGTGCCGAGATGTTCGGGCCTCGTGCTGGTCGGTGGGGCTGGGGCGATTCATGCTTCAAGCCACGGCGCTCTGCCAGACGACATCCGTACAGCCTTCAAACCAGGCGCCTTTGCAAGACGCAGGTGCAGACGACTTCCCTCCACCATCGAACCGATCAAATTGAAGGGCCGAAGGTTGTTGACTATGGTCGCAAGCTGCCAGCAACTTGCCCGAGCGTGGACACCTGGACCTGATTAGGGCGCCTCCGCGACCCAGAAGGGATGTGGGCTCTGGTCAGCTCCCTGGCGACTGGCAGTCAAGCTTGACCATGCCGAGATCGCCATTCAGCCCGGACAGACCCACACCTGCCTGCCAACGGGGCACGCTCGGCAATGGTGGCTCGGAGCTCGTGGAAGGGTGCCGAACTCCAACCCAAGAGCCTGCCAGGCGAGAGCGAGCGGGCCACGGGGGCCCAGCCTGTGACTAACGTGTCGAGGGTGGCTGTTCAGATACTCTGCGAAACTGACTACCTACCAGACCACCAACCCAATCCGAAGACCTGAATTTCGGGTGGGGGGGTGGGTACGGGCTTCGTCAGAGTGAGGGGGCCGAACGGTCATTCATTGTCCCTGGGTGCGTGGCTGAAGTGCGGATCTGTAGTGAGGATTCTGCTTGCTGTTGGTGTTGTTGTCGTCGTCCCCCCGCGACCTACCTGGCGACCCATCCGCGACCTACCTCGCGACCCACCCGCGACCCACCCGCGACCCACCCGGGATCCGGCCCGCGACCCACCCGCGACCCGGCCCTCGACCCACCAGCGACCCACCGTCGACCCACCTGCGACCCAACCCGCAACCCCCTACATTGCTTTACCAAACAAAAAATCGGCGCCAGCGGCTCGATGAATAGCTTGAGAAACTTTGACCCTGCGGCGGGCTTCTTCAAAGCCTCGCAGACTGCCGACGTCCCCGCCGCCTCCGCACTCTTATCCGCAACTGCGGGGTGCTACGTAGGTATTTTTTTGATGTTCCCCGACCCCCCCCTACTGGAAAAGGAGAGCAAATCGGGGCCTTCGGGTTGGGTTGGGGTGGTTTGGTGGGCGGTGAGAAACTGTGCGAAGAGTAGGTGGGCTGGCTGACGCCCAGCAAGGCCAATCTGATGTCGCTTTTGCATCCCGTGCTGCTCGAATTCTCGCGTTTCAGCTCGTAGGCCGCAGCCGGGAACTGTTTGGTCAAGTGTCGCGGCCCTTCGCGGTGCACCCGCCTCCTGCGGCCGCGCACAGCAAAACGCCAAGAGGGGCGTGTGCCGAGACTCGTGGAGTCCCTGCCACGAGGCGGCGCCTTGGCGCATCCGTCGCGCAAACTCTGGCCCCGGACGTACTCATTTGGTGCCGTACCCCTGCGGCCCGATGCGAGACTAGAGCCTTGCATTTGGTCGGGCATGTCCTCCTACAGGCGGATTTTGGAGGAAAGCAATGAAATAGTTTTAAAACAGGCTCAAAAACAATACCTAAAAAAAACGTTCCCAGACAATTTTCACGATTTTTCCCAATAATCCTGTGGCGTTTGGTCCTCGAATTGAAGAGACGGCGCCCCGCGTTCATCTCATCTCCTCTTCCTCTCCTCCTCCCTCTCCTCCTTCCTCCTACCTCCCCCCTCCTTGCCTATGCCTTCCGCATGTCCATTCCTACACACCCCGCACACGCGTCGTGACCCCATAGGAGCCCGCCCCACCGAATGCCTCAACGGCGAGGTCCACATCCGTCCGCGCCACCCATGTCGGCGCACCCCTGACGCGTTTCGTCGCCCCATAAGGAGCTCCACCGAAGGCCCCAGTGGCGGTGTCCACATGCGTCCGCGCCACCCCATGTCGGCGCACCCCTCACACGTTTCGTGACCCCAGAGGAGCTCCACCGAAGGCCCCAGTGGCGGTGTCCACATGCGTCTGCTCCACCCATTTCGGCACACCCCTCACTCGTTCCGTAGCCCCATAGGAGCTCCACCGAAGACCACAGTGGCGGTGTCCACATGCGTCCGTGCCACCCATATTGGCGCGCCCCTCACATGTTCCGTGGCCCCACAGGGAGCTCCACCGAAGGCCCCAGTGGCGGTGTCCACATGCGTCCGCGCCACCCATTTCGGCGCACCCCTCACGCGATTCGTGGCCCATATGGAGCTCCACCGGAAGGCTCCAAGGGCGGTGTCCACACGCGTCCGCGCCGCCCATTTCGGCGCACCCCTCACACGATTCGTGCCCCCATAGGAGCTCCGCCGAAGGCCCAGTGGCGGTGTCCACATGCGTCCGCGCCACCCACTTCGGCGCACCCCATCACACGATTCGTGTCCCCAATAGGGAGCTCCACCGAATGCCCCACTGGCGGTGTCCACATGCGCCCGCGCCACCCACTTCGGCGCACCCCTCACACGATTCGTGTCCCCAATGGGGAGCTCCACCGAAGGCCCCAGTGGCGGTGTCCACATGCGCCGGCGCCATAGATTTCGGCGCACCCCTCGCACGCTTCGTGGAACCATAAGGCCCCACTAGCGGTGTCCACATGAGTCTGCACCACCCATGTCGGCGCACCCGTCACAGTTTTCGTGGCCCCATAGGGAGCTCCACCGAAAGCCCCAGTGGCGGTGTCCACATGCGTCTGCGCCACCCATTTCGGCACACCCCTCGCAGGCTTCGTGGCCCAACAGGGAGCTCCACCAAAGGCCCCCAAGACGGTGTCCACATGCGTCCGCGCCACCCATGTCGGCGCACCCCTCACGCGTTTCGTGGCCCCATAAGGAGCTCCACCGAAGGCCCCCACGACGGTGTCCACGTGTGCCCGCGCCACCAATTTCGGCGCACCCCTCACACGTTTCGTGGCCCCATACAGAGCTCGACCGATGACTGTATTCACAACTGCAGTGCTCTCAGCTGCATATGGTTGGGTCCTTCGCCAGGCTAATCGAACATTCCTCCTGTAGAGGGACGTGCCCGACTTAACTCTGGCCCCGGCCGCCTTCATTTGGGGTCGTAGCCGTGCGGCCCGATGCGAGACGGGAGCCCTGCAGATGCCTCTGGAGGTGCCAGGGGCTTCCCGCGCAGCGTCCAGAGGCTGAGTTGTCGCACCAAGGCACGCGGTGCGGATAGGACTTTGCCTGACGCGCGCCATGCGCCTCTTGGCGAAGGATCTTACAGGCCTCCCAGATGGGACCGTCTTGAGGCCATCTCGGGGAACTGAATGGCCATCTTGGGGTCGGCTAAGGCCGTCTTGCCTCTTAGAACCCTAGTGGGCCGTATGGATGCCATCTTGGAAACCTCGGGGGCTGTCTTGGGCTGTCAGAAGCCTGAGACAGTGTGATTGCTAAAGTCATAGAAGAGCCTTTTTGGAGCTCTCTTCGGGTTCTCTTGATGTCATCGTGGGCCGTCGGTGCCTGCTTCCAGGCATGCCATTGCGTCGGCATCGCCTTCTGCTTCGGCGCAACCTCTCGCCACGACGCTGCTTCTTTGGAGGCGCAGCTTGCGCAGTGACGCCTGCCCCCAGGGACACAAAAAGGCCTGGGGGCGGCGAGGTCGACGGTGCCGCCGCTCGCCCCAGCGCTAGCGTCTGCGCGGCCGCGCGGGCTTCGCGCGAACACTGCGAAGGTCTGCGATGTGTTTCACTTGTGGGAACCATGAGACAGCAGCATCAAGCGTAGAAAAGCCTTCAAGCGTGATTGGGGCGCAGTGGGCAACGTTCGCCAATGTGGAATTGAAGACGAAATCCCACCCTTGGCCATCGGTGTCATCATTAAACAAAACCTCATCGACCAAGCCGCTCAACATGCGAAACGGCTCGTTCATACAGCCGTACCCATACTCCGAACGGCCCTGAAGAAAGAACTGTTTCATATCTTCGGGCTTTACATCGGCAAGGCAACCTGGGGCACCGAACTTCTAGAACCGAAAATAATCCGCCGACCTTGTCGGCGTGTGGAATGCGTTGTTGTTCGTGGTTGTTGCCCCCTCGCTATCCCACCCCGGTGCTGTTCCTCATGGTTGTTGCGCGCTCACTGCTGCGCTCCCCGTCGTCGGCGCCGTCGCCGTCGCCGTGTCCTTCGTTTTCTGTATCGGCCGTCGCTGTCTCCCACCTCAAATTGAGCAGCGTCGTAATTGAGTCGAAGGGAAGCCCCTTCCCTTTGATGCCTTCCCGACGGAGAGGGGGGGGCCAAGGGAAGGTCCCGGTGGGGGGGGTCCCGGGGGGGGGCCTCCCTGGTCAGAATGCCATCCTCCCTGGGCGGGGGGTCCGGGACACACGCAGGCCTCAAGACGAGCCAGGAGTGGCCCAAGAGCTCCCCAACACGGTGCAAGAGGGCCCCGGATCGCCGAATGATCGGTTATCG